GACAAGAGAAGCAGCAGAGGTTTTGCTTCAGCGAATCGCGACGACACTGCCTGCCTCCCGACCGAGCGATCTACCGTCGAACATCCACCGCCGGCAAGACGAATGCTCGAAAGGCGCAGATCTTGCCAGTAAAGGCCGGAACAGCTGACTTGCCGTCCATCACAGCACGGACGGAGGGACGCCGACGGAGCTGCCAACGATCCGCACGAATCCATAGCCTGACGCACCCCAACCCTCACAGAAATGCCATTCTCGAACACACCAACATCCCAGCGCAAAAGAAGGTCAAAAATAACCAGCGCAAGATGTCGGAGGCGGCCTAGGGGATTTCCTCAAGATATATGGAGACAACGACGGAACAGCGGCGTATGGAGGCTGGAAGAGCAATAAGCTGCAACGTAAGCTGCAAGCGGCCGAGGGAGCACTCAGAGGGAGCACATCCTGCTGGCAAGCGGTAGCATCGCTGTCGCGAGCTCCAGAAAGGATTGAGACGCAACACTAAACTGCTCCGCCATGCAGGAAACGGAATACAGATTGGGCAGGCAGCCATCTGTGTGCGATTTCATCAAGCCCGGGAGACTGGCGACTTGCGCGGATGGCTTCAGACCGTTGCGTTCTCTCCTTGTTTCGTGGGGTAATGGTCATTATGGTACGTTGGGCGGGCATCTAGATAGCAAGCAGGCATGGCAAGACAGATAGCTGCAATAACGCTGAGACGCCAGCTTCATTTGAAGGCGAATTTGTGGAGGGCACATTTGATGGAGCGATCGAAAGCGGAGCCATACTTCCAGCATGATGCTCAGAGCTGACGAGATTGAGACAATGCCCAGCCCGAAAGCACAATCGCAGGTCTGGATGGGTCGCCACGATATCTCCCGACTTCGCGAAAGTCGCAGTAGAGGAGGAAGATGCGGATCAGCGCAGGAGACTGGCAAGCCAACAAGCTGGCATTGGGGACGAAATGCCTTGTACACGACAGGACAGACAGCCTCGATCCTTCGCTCGGACGCCCTTTAACAACCTCTCGGTCACGAACTTAGCGATAGCTAGTAAGAGACGGTGCATAGGCAATGCGGTGGACGAACGCCGCAAGAGAGATGGAGTTGGTATGTAGCGGAAAGAGCTGTGGATAAAGAGCGCCGGACAATCGCTGTTCGGCCACAAGCAGAACACAAGCAATTTGTATAGGGACAAACGCAGGGCTGTGCTTGGTCGCTCTCGAGGCCCTCAAAGACGGTATACTTTGAAGGCGCCAGGAAAACAGCGGAAACGATGAGCGCTTGCGTTGGATGGACCTGACATCAGGAGGCAAGCAACAGCGGCACCCCGATTGAGGGAGCAGAGCGAACTGGAGCTGGACAGCCGGAGCTTCTAGAGACTGGTTCAGTCTGTTGTAGGCGCTCGCGTTACAGACTGAGTGCCGGCTGCTTCGTTCAGCCTTTCCAGGTAGGTAGATCATTTAGGCACGCACAATCTCGTTGAACGTAAAGAGCTCGGCCATTCTGCATCCATAGACAATCTCCTTTCCCTTACGGTCCAAATCTCAATTTGATCCACAGATGTGAGCCAGTAGAGGTCAGGTAGGTTGCAGAAGTCGTCTGACAGTGGTCTGGCTTCGCTTAACATATCAAGCCAGCCTGCCAAATCCACGCCCGCGTCGTTGCCATTACAGACGAACCCAAGCTCCTGAAACACCTCAACATCCCCATCACGGCAACCATCACGACAACCACCACGCACGCAACGCATGACTCGCAAGCAGCGCAGCAGTTTGAGACGTCTTGGGATCGCGTGAGACGTCTTGAGATCGCGTTCGCCGCCTCTGGAAGAGACTTCGAGGCAGGCAGGCCTCACGATAAAACCTCTCCATCATCTCCCCTCCTCCGCTGCGCTCTCCCTCGCCGCCATCGCCCACACCACCACCACCACCACCACCCGCGCTGTGGCCCCTGGAAGAGCCGCAAATCGAGGAGTCTACGTGACGTGGGTACAGCATCCACCGGACGACCTCCCTGCCGCTCCAGGGGGCCAAGCCCTCCTCGTTTTCCCGAGAGCACTTCACCCTGCCTGAGACTTGGACCAGCGTCGCTTGCTCGTCCGGTTTGCTCCAAGATGAAAGGCCTGATTGCAGGCTGTGCCTGCATGATCCAGACTGGAAGTTGGAATGCCTTTCTCCCCCATAATTCTCCTCCCCAATGGAAAAAAATACAGCAAAATTCTATTGCCGCACCCATGGGCCCCACAACTCGTCACATCCTGGAGAAAGACATGAAAGCAAGCCCATAAGCAAGAGGACTGGCACCAGAAGAAGCGAAGAGTTTGGGAGTATCCTGGCCTGAGTCCTCGGCAATACAAAAGCCAGGTATCATTTCTTCCAACACTCTTTACTGGCGAGCAACGATACACCAGAATCGCCTGTCACCAGCAAAGCTCCTCGAGGCTTGAAGGTGTTTCAGCCGATGTCCTCTTACATTCCGGCATGTCGATCTCTAATATTTGACGATATACCATAAGTCCAGGAGAACCTGCTTCATGTCTTCTCGAGCCACTCAATGGAGATCTTTCCGCACTCTCGATTCTAGATCTCGACAGCAGAGAGGTCTTGTTTGAAGCGGAAGCAGCGCAGTGCAGTGACCTTTCGCCCAAAGCAGCTGCCACACCGACAAGGTATTATAATGTTTGCCAGATTGTATCTGGAGACCTCCCGTGAAGGCTCTTCCAACCAAAATGGCCCAAAACAACGCACTTGCCTTCGAGAAGTTCTCCCACGTTTATGGCAGAAACCTGCTCAAGGATGAGCGATGACCAAGCAGGCATGCTGGGTTGGATCTTCATCTGATGGACCGCAGATGGCGCCAGTAGCCGGACCGTCGAGCAGAAGTCGTCGAGCAGAAGTCGTCGAGTATTCTGCATCGAGAGGGATATGATGCATCAAAGCGAGTAGCCACCCGGCGGTTTCTTCGTGGCTGTGTGCCGCCAGTATGCGCAGCAATCAAGCAACATTCCAGCTGTTGTGGCGGGCAGCAGAGGTCTCGGCAAAAAGCACTCTCAGAGTCAGACCGAGTCAATCTGTCACTCCAGACTGGCAGCCACCATGTTCAAGCCAGATATCGCCTGCAATCCTCTTCATACTGGCGGTATCGATGATGTGGAAGTTCGAGAGCGACGGTTCATGGTGGGCCGGAGAGGTTTCCGCAAAGAGCGGCGTCCGGAGACGGACCAAGTCTGTCAACCACTCCATGCTGGCAGATACGATGTCTCAACACAGATACCGTCTGCAAAGCTCTTCATAGCGATGACATCGCGGATGTAAAGGAAGTCCGAGAGCGGGTGTTCGTGGTGGGTGGGAGAGGTGTCCGCAAAGGGCGACGTCCAGAGACGGGCCAAGTCTATCCATCCCTCCACGCCGGCTCCTACGATGTTTCAAACCCAAATGCCATGTGCAAAGCTCCTCTTGTTGGTGGTATTGCCGGTGCGAAGGAAGTTCGAGTGCGCGGTCGTGCATCGGTGGTGGGCGTGAAGGTCTGCGAAAGGCGGTCTCGAAGTCGAGCGAAGTCCGTCACCACTCCATACTGCGAGTAGCAGCTGCGGTGCTTCAAGTCGAATGCGATCCGCATGGCTTTTCGTGTTGGTGGCATCGCTGATGTGAGGGAGGTTTAAGCGGGTCGTCGTAGGGGCGGGAGAGGCCTTCGCGAAAAGCGGCCTCGGTGTCGAGCGAGGGCTGTCAGCGAACGCTTCATGTGGCAGCCACGAAGGTCTGATATCAGAAGCCATCGGCAAAGCTCCTCATGGCGATCGCATCGCTGGTGAGAAGAGAGGCCGAGCGGTTGCGCTGAGAAAGAAGGACCTCCGTCGGTGAACGCAGCATGCCGGGATTCGGATCGCTGTCAACAAGACCTTTGCATTCAAAGCTGCAAGAGAGCATCTTGACCTGCATCGTCTCTCGCTCCTCACCGTGTGCAGAGAAAGTCTACTTCGTGGAGTGATGGCAAGAACAAGAAAGGTGGTCGCCGCTTGAAGCCGGGAAAGCGTTACTCCTACCTACCCTCCGGCCAGCCAAGAACGTCCAGCAACTCCTCAACTCCCTCCAAAGCACCATCTACACCACTCTCGGCCACTCCGCAGCACCCCAAGACCCTTCAGAAACGTTACAGTTGCCCTCAAGCCCCTCATATACGGAACTGCAGCGCCTCTGGGCAGAAACCTCAGCAACCTGCTACGCGGGACACCTCCGCCAAGCTCCGCAGGAAACGACGTTCAAATAAGCTGCCAGCTAGCGGTCAGGGTGGGTCAACGGTCAGCAAGGCTTCCCGGCGCTAATGCAAGACCCCCAGACGCTGATCTTTGCCTGTGCTCGGGGAGGATCGGGAGAGGCCGGAGAGCTTGGGAGAGAGCCGGACGTGAAGGCTTCTGAGGCAAAAATGACCGCGCAGAACGCAGAGCAGACCATAACGAGAACGAGGAAACCAGTGTGCTATCGAAGCAGATGCTCGTGCATCGAGAAACGTTGTATTCTCTCTCGGAGGAGAACGGGACCCAGTTGAGGGCGCGCAGACGCCTTGCGCTATCGAGGGCAGGTTCGAGGGCAGGGTCGAGTGCGCGTGTTAAGGAAGTCGAGGGAAGAGCATATATGTGGAGGGCAGGGACGAGGAGCCGGGAGGAAGTGGCCACTTGCAAGCACGATGAGGATAGCAGTGGGTACGATACGGTGAGACCATGGCAAGAGCAACTAGCAGCAGGAAGAAGCAGTGCAAAAGAAGGCACGTACAATGCACGCATCCCACAAAGGATTTGTTCTCCGAGGCATTCAAGGCACTCGCTAGGTACCACGTCCTCATTGCGGCATGGACTAGGACGCGCGAGGTCTGATGAAAATGCTGTGTGCTGGTATTCCGTCGTCGGAACTGAACAGAATGTTGAAACGCTCGCCATACGATGATCATGAAAATGTATGTACAGAAACTACGCAATTACGACGTACCTCTTCCTCCCACAAGACCTCAAGACTTATCTCTCTTTCCGAACTGTCCAAACCGATCCCTGAAATCTCCAAAATGCGGCATACTAGGCTTCTTCGACAAGTCCTGAAAGTCAGGCAGAATGGACATGCGCTCCCTCCTTGGAGGTGGTTCCGTGGGCGCCGTGTACACCTTCTCTAGCAGCTCAGCCCCCTTGATCTTGTCCACGTTACCAAACCTCAAATTAGATTTGGAGGAATCGAAGAATTCCTCGCCCTTGCCCTCGGCAGCCAGTGTCATGAGGTCGGTGGTCTGCCTCAGAGGCACGAGACTTTCAAGCAGCATCGGGGCTTCGGGGAGGCTTTCAACGTAACCGACGAGGTCATCGACATCCAATTTATAGGCAGTGACGGCTTGAGGAGAGATGTGCCGGACATTAGGGTCCAGCGGGAGTGAGAGAAGCTGTTCGCAGACGTGGTTGAGCGCTTCGAAGTAGATGAGCTCCTTGACCTGCTCCGGCAGACCAAGCAGCACGGTGTTGATTGTATTGGAAAGGTAGCGAGTGAGTTCCTGGATGTATGGACTGGCAGTGTCAGGCACATACGTGCTAGTCCATTCGTACTCGGCCGTCTCAATCAGATCGTCAATCTTGCTGTTGACGAGCTCGAAGATCCGCTTCTCGGCCCTCTTCTTGGCCGCATCGAATTGGCTGGTGGCGTTCAGTTTGATCGGACCAGCAGCACTGCTGCTCGACCTCGCCTCAACGAGGAGATCTTCCAGGTCCTTGCATGCCATTTCGAAATGGTCGAGGTTTGTCAAGATCTGAACGATCTGGCCCGGGTATTGCGATGAGAGTCGATCCACGAGGCTTCGGCAAACTTTTTCCACGAGAAGCTCATCAAGGCTCTCCTTTAAAGTCTTGTCGATGACGCTAGTGTGGCGGAAATGATCATCCGAAAACAGGTAGATCTGATTGAGGAAGTTGCGAATGTCGATACAGACCAGTGGATACATCTGGCTGAAGGGAAGCACACACGGATATGTGAGGTCTTCGGGACGCTCCTGGCCTTCCGGAGGATTGTACCACGAGACTGAGACCACCTTATCGTATTCTTCGGCGTTATTGATGGGCATAGGCATGTAATCGTCGGTGGCGACGATCTAGCAGGTGTTAGCGGACTGCATGTGTCTAAGCTGGATTCAGAACGTACCTCTTGAAAGTCGTCACTGAAGCGCTTCTTAAGCAGTGAGCTGTACTTGTCGAACAGAGTGAGGAGTAGGCTGTCAAGACTATTGACAGGATAACCCCAGCTGTCCATCGTCTGGATGAAGAGCGCAATGACGCCCTTGATCTTGAGCAGCTCCTCGTCGTTGTCGATGTTGAGAAGTGCGGTGCTGATCAGGGAAACAGCGGATTGACACATGCTGTCCCAGAGCTCATCCACGTCGCTTTGAGCGCGGAAGTTCTCGGTCTTCTGCATGGTCGCCTTCTCCACGATGGCAAAGCCCGCAATGCCTTCAAGCAGACTGCTAAGGCTGTTGCTCTCGTCATCCTGCAGGTTGATGATTTGAGGAAGGAGAAGGTCTTTTTGCCTCCGACGGGTGGCGGCATAATCTGCTCGAAACTTTTCTGTTTCACCAAGTGCGTCGTGAATATGTAGGCATTCAAAAAGCGGGGAGAAGTCAACTTGAACCTCTTCGTTGTTGAGTACGTCGAACTCTTCTGGCTCGTCCGCAACCAGCTCAACGGCCGAATTGAGCTTGAAGGAGCCCAGATAGCCTTCCTTCTCAGCTCGCTCTTTCTGCCGTGCTCTTCGCATTTCGGTATGATAGAAAGCCACTTCGCCCAGGAATTGAGACGTCTCTCTGATCCGGTAGAGCCACGTGTTCAAGTCCATCATGACTGCATCAGCAATCAAACGCTGCGTAGCCGGCACCGAGCGCTCAATCATCTCGGCGATCTTGTATCTGGTGACCTCTCGAAGATGCACGTTTTGCAGCTCATCAAGGGCCCGGAGAGCAGCGTAGTGATTCTTCTTCCCAAGAAGGTCGTGGACTTGATTGGCAAGTCGTAGTACTTCGAGACAGTCCTTCAGAGCTTGTGTGGCATCATCGATGTTTTGGCGAACGCTCCGCGAGTCGACAAGAGCCTTCTTCTGCTCCGCAAGCTTTTCAGTGCTTGCTTCGATGCTACGACTGAGCTCCATAATTTCCGTGGTGAGATTGACAGTTCCCTGACGAACGGACTGTAGCTGGTTGACGCTGCTGATAAACTCCTGGTGATTGGTGTTGCATATCGACTCGATCTGGCTTTCTCTCTCGGCAGAGACATGGTTCAATGCTTGTATGAGGGGAGTGACTTGAGCCTGCGTTTCAGCATTCTTCAACAGAGGGATCAACTGATCCAGATAGTCCGACCCGGAAGATGAGAGGATTATCTGCTGTACGGCTCCAGTGAGATCATCGTACTGATCTCCAGCAATCAGGCCTGGCATGCTGCTCGATGTGTCGTGAGTGGTGAACGCTCGGATGGAATGCGCGGTCTCGTCCGCGGCTACAATCTCGGGTTTGCAATTCACATACGAGGGCTCCGGCTCAGGTGAGGTGAGGTTATCACGTAGTGAGAGGCCTACTTGCCTCGGGTCTCGGCCAGGGAGCCGGTCTTTCCACCTTCACCTTCAACTTGAACTCAATCCTCGGCAACCACTTCGGTGGTCTTTGTCTTTCGTGAGAATCGATCCAATACGGTACAAGGCGGCCAATACGGAACAAAGGAACGCCTGGCAAATCGTCCGCCTTCCCTGCTGGCTCCTCCGTCGCAACCAGCCTGGCGATGTTGGCCTCCTGGCGGCTTCTGACAGCTGGCTCAACCAAAAACCGCACAGAGCTAAACTTTTGTGTCAGCAAAATCCTCTCGATGATGTATATGAGGCCTACTTGGATTGGTCGGGAAGAAGAAACAGGCACCTCTCTCTGGACGGTATCCTCGAGCGTCGACGCAAGTACGACCACCGCCAACGACTTCGGCTATATCTTTTTCAGCGGATCTGGATGGCAAACGAATTGATGGAGAGATTCACAGCCTGGCTCGTCGAGAGACACTCGGTTCCAGCTCGATGTTTGGGCGAGACGCGACGTCTTTCAGCTCTCCCGATGCTTCCCGCCAAGATCTGGGGTGATGGCCTCAGGCAGGAAGCTGACCCTTGTCTCCAGGATTTTAGCGCCGGACGCTAAGCAGGGGTCGGCCGTCGAGCATGGTCCAAGCTCCTATCAAAATGGGATTCACAGGGCAGGTGGGAGGTGGGCGCTCCTGCCCTGGGCTGTGAGCCAAGAATGTTGCGAATTCACGTTCTCATGCGCTGGACAACGTGGAAAACAAATGTGCATATCGATATGGGATTCTACGTAATCGTCAGAGCCAGCGCATCAACAATAACGCTTCTTGGGAAGGCGTCCCGGGACCGGTTGACGATGTCGCGAGCCCGAGAGGTCTGTCCGAGCATTGGAAATCCATACGACAGCCTCGCAGCAACGTGGGATCGATCGTGACAGCGTTGCAAGGCTCAACGATATGCTACAGAGACGGGAGAAGTTGGAGGAGCTGTAGGAGACCGTCTGTTGTCCTGCGGAACAACGATATCGTTGGTTGCATGCTATCTTCGACGCCTTACACCCCATAGAAGTTGATGGATCCATCACCATCGTGGCGCGATTCCTCATGAGGAGCCAGAGGGGCGAGCTGTCCAGGTTTGGGAATCGTCGGGAGACCATATGGTCATTGCGAGACGCTGGATTGGCCACGATGGGAGTGCATCCAGGAAAGCGCGAAGGGAGGCCCCACACGAGCTCGGTCGCCCAGCGACTGGGCACGCACGCGGCGTGCTTCCCACTTTGCCCTTCTTCTTTTTTGCTTTTCCCTCTCACTCCCAACTTTTCTTCCCTCGACACACACTCCCCCGAATCACCGACACCAGTCACTCTTCGCCCTCATCCTTTCGCATTCCCCTTGCAGCATTGGCAGCACACTCATTCTTCCCCCATTCACGTTCAGGCATCTTGGCCAGCAGCCTTTTGGTGCTGTCTTTGACAAGATACCCATCCGCGACACCGCAAACTCAGCACGCGTCCTCAAGCTTCATTCTTTGGCATTGACAGCGTTCAAGGCTCAGCGGCACCATGGCTGATTCTTTCGACACTCCAACCACGCGCAAGCCTCTCCACGAGAGCAATGGCGGCGTCTCGCTCACCTCGCTCGCCATCGAAGACACGTGAGCACTCTCCCTTTGGTCCATCTGTTCCTTGCTGATTTTTCTCCAGTTCCACTCCAGCCCACGAGAGCACCGGTCGCCCAGTGTGGACTGGCCCGAAGCCAGACTCGTCTTTGACCGACGAGTCCTTCACCAACCGCCAGGGCCGCGACTCGCCGGCTGCTAAGCAGTTGTCCGGTAGCGCCGCAGCCTTCCAGCCAGGCGTCGACAAGCCCACCCCAATCTCGATGCTCAACCGGGACAGCACCGCCGACGATGGCCGTCCAACGATCGTGAAGTCTTCTGCAGCCGCCCTCGAATCCAGTGGCAAGAAGTCTCCCACCGGTGCCATTGGCAGCGGCTCGCGTCAATCCAGCCCTAAGACCCGAGACACCTTCACGACCGACACCGGTCCAGGTGTTCCCTTCAAGGGAGCTCACTACCTCAAGCTCGACCAGATCCCGGTGGCTTCCTTCGATCGTGTCTTCAAGATCTTCACCGACGAGGTAAGATGCCAGCAAGCCCTTGTTGTCAGCTCTATTCACTGACAACTTCTGCAGTACAACTGGAAGTCTAAGATGATCAGCCACTTCGCTCCAGAGGTAGGCCAAGGCCAGTCTTCCAAGTTCATCAGCATCTATATCTGCTTCGATGATGTTGCCGATGCCGCTCAAGCGATCTCCGACATCGAGGTCGTCCCGGGAGCTCAGGACTGGGTCCCGTCCTACATCACCCAGACTGAGTACGCCGCCAAGCTCCCATTCGACTCTGGCATCCAGACGTCCTTCTTTGACGGCCAGGTTGTCTTCGCCGCAGGCTTTCAAGGCATCCTGACGGCGGTCGATGCCTCGTACCTCCCAGGCAAAGTTCGCGCATTTGCAGAAGATTTCGGCGAGATTCTGGCGTTCGATGTCAACGCCGGCAGTGACGCTGTGGATTTCCGTATCGAGTTCACAAAGATCTCCGTTGCTCGCAGCGCACTTGGCTTGGTCACTACAGCCCAGCCATTCGAGATTGAGGTAAAGCTTGACGTTCTATCACGTGACATCTTCAGTCAGCTGACTTTTCTGCAGGAGTGGTCCGTCGTGGCTCGCCCAGTCCAAGGCTACCCATCGGCATTCACCAAGCCTCCCAGCACTCCCAAGAAGACCTTCAACGGCGGCCGTGAGATCTTCTGCAGTCCCACCGGTCGGACCTCGTGGTCGTATGGCGAGAACGGCGAGTTCGTCATTGAGCAGCCCATGAAGACCATCCCGAAGGTCGGTGGTAGTGCCACGGACCGTGCTGGCTTCACCCCAGCACCACGCGAGCGCTGGCACTCTGCTCCGACTCCACAGACTCCTGTCGCCTTCGACGGCGTCCAGTACGGCCCTCGCAGCGGTTCGTGGGCTGGAGAGGTGGCTGTGTACCGCGACACTGAGCCGCAGTGTGTGAGCACGGAGCGCATCGCCAACGGACAAGATGTTCGCACCACCATCATGCTCCGCAACGTGCCAAACCGCTGGACCGCTGCCGACCTGAAGAGAATTCTCGACACGTGCAGCGCCGGTCAGTACGACTTCTCGTACCTTCGCATCGACTTTGAGTACAACACCAACGTCGGCTACGCCTTCGTCAACTTCACCGACCCGGCCAACGTGATCCCTTTCGTCGACACCTACGTCGGTAAGGAATGGGTCCCAGGCTCCTTCCCACGCAAGATCGCCGCCGTCTCGTATGCCACCGTCCAGGGCTACGACTGCCTCGTCGAGAAGTTCCGCAACTCTGCCATCATGGACGAGTATCCGGGCTTCCGTCCCAAGCTCTGGTACACCAAGGAGAATGCTCCAGACCCATCCAAGATTGGCGAAGAGAAGGCCTTCCCGCCTCCCAACAACTATTCCAAGAAGCAGCGCTCGCACGACAATGCTGGCGCCATCGGCCTGTGGGCTCCTCGTACCGGTCATCGTCGCGAAGGCATCCGTCGCTCTCAATACGACCGTGGCACTACCCGTCAGATCCAGGAGGACGCAGCGTACTATCAGACGGGTTACGGCGGCCAATACATCGTCGGCAACGGCCATGGGCCAGTCGGCGCTCCGCCAGTGCAATTCACCATGCCGTACTACGGTGGCTACACGAGCTTTGGGCCCCAAGTCCAGTACGACTTCAACGGCCCGTATGCCACTCCCTACTTCCACCCAGCAGGCTACCCACCACCCGGCACGCTTGTGAACCCAGCTTCGGGCCTTCGCACGATCTCCAAGGGACGTCTTGCTGGTCGCCCAAAGAACGTCACCGTCGACCCATCCTACTACGGTGGACCAGTCCAGTCTCCCAACGTGCCTCGTAGCTTCAACGGTGAGGACAGCCAGTACAACGGATCCTACTCCAACGATGCTCGCAACTACCAGCATGGCGCTGGCCACCAGTACAGTCCGCAGTATTAGGCTGCTGCCCTGCACATCTTACCGTCATTTTTCCTTGACGACACCGATGAGCACTGACGGATTGGAGACGGTTGAGAGAGACAGGATGGCACGGCTTCATGTCTTGGCATGATCTGGGAGAGGGCGTGATGTCCCTTTACTTGGCTCATGGTCGACCTGGAGAATGCTGCTGTCCCGCACAGCCCCTTGCACGCATTCTTTGAAGGCAATCATGGATACTGACATGCTGCTTTCAGTACTATAGCTGATAGACCAAGAGCCCGCCGGCCTCAACGGATCGTGGTATGCCATACGGGCTGCTACGTGTAAGCTAGAAGTAGACGTAATCGTAATACACTTAGACACAAGATCAACCTTACCTTTCCATAGACCTCTCCTCAGTGCACTGTCTCCATGATGTTCTCGGAAGGGGTTAGAAACGCGCTCGTGTTGGCGGAAGTGTGTGTGTGTCTCAATGCGCAGACACCGCATGCTGCCCTGAGCTCTGCTGCTGCCGAGGTCACCCTTCAACTTTGCTCTCCAGCGAGCTGTCCTGTCCTGTTACCCTCACCTTTTGCTACACTCGAGGCAATGCCAGTCCGTGTTTTCTATGGCATGAACAAGACCCTCGTATAACTCGGACTCCTGCAAGAGCCCTCAATGGCGCGTTCCGGACGCGTCAGGACAACGTGCCTGGTGCTCGCCAACCTTCTACTGCCAGTCGCGGTCTTGGTCTTCGCTTCTGGATTCTTCCCTTACAAACCTGTGCTACCCGGTCTGGCGACTTTTGAAGATGTCGCCGGAGACTCGACAGCTCCTGAAGCTGCTTTCGATCGGGTCGTCTTCATGGTTGTCGATGCGCTGAGGAGCGATTTCGTCTACGGGCATGGGAGTGGCTTTGAGTTTACACAGAGGTGAGCGACAGACAGATACAAGCGCGAAAGATACTGAAGGTGCTGATGATACTTGCTTGTATAGTCTCGTCCGTTCCGGTGCCGCAATCCCCTTGACCGCCCACGCAACTCCTCCCACCGTAACCATGCCGCGCGTAAAAGCACTAACCACAGGTTCCGTTCCATCCTTCCTCGACCTCATCCTGAACTTCGCCGAGAGCGACACAACCTCGTCGCTCGCATCGCAAGACACTTGGCTCTCGCAAATCAAAGCAAAAGGCGGCTCCATTGTCTTCTACGGCGACGACACCTGGCTCAAACTCTTCCCCGACCCAGACTTCTTCCTACGCTCAGATGGCACGAGCAGTTTTTTCGTTTCGGTCAGTAAAACTGGCCCTGGTTCGTCCCACATAGTTACATAGGCTGAGTATGGCATTTCTTTTGCTCGAACAGGATTTCACTGAAGTAGATCACAACGTGACGCGCCATGTCCCCAGTGAGATGAGGAGGGATGATTGGAATGCGATGGTGATGCATTATTTGGGCTTGGATCACATTGGACATAAGACGGGACCGCAGGGCCCGAATATGTTGCCGAAACAGAGGGAGATGGATGGGATCGTGAGGGAAATATACGAGGCGATGGAGGAGGAGGATCATCACACCAATACGCTCTTGGTGCTGGCTGGAGATCACGGCATGAATGCTGGTGGTAATCATGGTGGCAGTGGACCTGGTGAGACGGAGCCGGCTCTGCTGTTCGCCAGTCCGAAGTTGAAGAATATTGAGAAGAGGAGGGAGTATGAGTGTCCTACTCTTCCAAAAGACGGAACGGAATTCCACTACTACACCAAGGTCGAACAGAGTGATCTGGTCCCGACGCTGGCTGGTATGATGAGCCTACCCATTTCGCGGAATAGCCTTGGAGTCTCGATCTCCGAGTTGGACGGTCTTTGGACGACTGAAGGGAAGCTGGCGCACCTGATGCGCAACGGGAGGCAGATTCTGCAGATCATTGAGGCGACATATGGGCAAGAGGCATTCCGAACCCGTGTGGAACAGTACAAGATGCAGCAGCGTGGAACAAAGTATGGGAATTGCAAAGCGAGGTCAGAGGGAGAACAGCGCCTCGCCTGTTTGTGGGCTGCTGTGGAAGATCTTTCAGTCGTCGAGACCGAAGCTGAAGACCAGCAGAAGGCGGCTATCGCATTTCTCGTCGAGGCACAGGAGACGCTTGGTGGAGCAGCAAGCTCTTACAACATCCCACGCATGGTTGTTGGGATGGCTCTCACGGCCATCATCTTGGGATTCGCAGTGTTTTCATTCCCATCTCTCTGGCCCCCAAGCACAGCAAGCGCTTTCTTTGCCCTCACCAGCGTTCTGTACGGCGTCATGATGTTCGCCAGCAGCTACGTCGAAGAAGAACAGCAATTCTGGTACTGGCTTACCCCGGCTTGGATCGCCCTCCTTTCCGCCAAGAGCGCTTCCAAAATCCACTCCAGGGATACACCCAAACTGCTTCTCGGTGGCTCTGCCCTTCTCGCGGTCCACCGCCTCGCCGTGCGCTGGAATCAGACTGGTCAGAAACACGCAGGCGCTCCTGACATCGTTCATTCTTTCTTCCCGGATGCACACGTTCTGATGTGGCTCCTCATCCTTGGCACGTACATCTACACCGGCATTCTTCTGGTCCGAAGAGCTTTTGCGGGCATCATACCGACGGAATTTAGCGTCTTACTAGCTGCTGCTCTCGTGTTGCCAGGAATCATCTTTAAATTGAATTTCACGCAAGCAGATGCCCCGGAATTGGTGCAAGGACTGGCGTGGCAACTTCGAGAATGGACGAAAACATTTGATCTGGTGATGCAAGCACGGGTGGTGTTTATTGGACTGGCCACGGCTACGATTATCGTCACGACGCTTGCGATCCTCTCTGCAAGAGAAAGTCAGAAACTAGGGATGAAAGAGACGGGACTTCTTCCGAGTCTGGCGGAGAGATTACATCATCTCCTCACGCTGTTCTTAATCACCCAGACAAGGGCACCGAATGTCCCGCTCTTGCTGGGCTTCGAAATCCAGAGGGAAGCGCTGGCGTATCTCATCCGCGCGGACGGGAGGAAGGTGATGCAGATTGCGACTTCCACGCTCCTGCTCTCCCACGTTGCCTTTTTCTGCATGGGCGGCTCGAATTCCATCTCGAGCATTGACCTCAGCAATGCGTACAATGGCGTTGCAGATTACAACATTGTTGCGGTGGGTGTCTTGCTCTTCGCGAGCAATTGGACGGGCCCGATCTGGTGGTGCAGTGCGGCGAACCTCCTGCTGCATACCTCCACCTCCACACCGTCGAAGACGAAAGAGGACGAGTCCAGGTCGTGGATCGATACCGAAAGAGCGAAATTGCATGAAGATACGCTTCGTGCGATGATGGGACCCGAGAAATCCACTACGAAGTCACAAGCAGAGAGTCTCTGGTCGGTTTACCTCTCATGCATGACGGCTTTCGTGGCAGCTAGCTTACTCGCGGTCATGGCGGCCTGTGCGGCTCTGCGGACGCATCTGTTCATTTGGACGGTGTTTAGTCCAAAATATCTCTATGCCATGGCATGGAGTGTTGGATGGCATCTGATCGTGAACATTGGTTTTGGTGGGATGATGAGTTGGGCTGCTGGAGTGGCATAGGAAAGAAAAAGGATTCATGGTGATTATTGAAGAAATTCGATGGTAAGCTATCTTTTCCGTCGTCGGTCATCGCTGCAGCCGTAGCTATATTCTCATACCAAATGCGTTAGAATGGAGAAACCGACACTTTTCTCGCTCTGAGCTCCCGCGTAGAGCGACGCATACATAACCCATACTGAAACCCTCTCAATGCCTCTTTACTGGCTTTTGTATCAGCCATTGATAGAACTCCGGGGTGCCATATTTGAACCCCCTGCACATGGAACGCCACGCCTTGTGTTCGTCAGTTCTTCTATCCTATATCGTAGCTGGCCACGGTGCCACGACACGCTGCCCAGAATCGCTTCACTGCCTCCTTCGTCTTTCTGCCGTCGCCTCGGAGACCAAGGATGGTCTGCAGAAAGCGACGTTTGTCCACGTTTTCGCTACTTCTCTGCACGGCCTCGGTGGAGAGCGCGGCTTCCAACCAGCTCTTGGCTTGAGGCCTAGTAACGAGCACCTTGAGAGGTTCGCAGAGTTGATCGAGCTCGGAGCGCTGGGCTTGTCCTGCGTATTGGTTGACGAGTATCTGCGATGAAAGGTCAGCTGACATGTTTCGACGTGAAAGTATACCCAGTGGGAACGGAGTCTGCTCCCTTGTTCCCTTGCGGAACATCGTTTTGTCTCGCTTGTGGCTACGTACCTGAACGAGCTGCGGGCCATAAGCAGTGAAAACTTGCTCGGAGCGCTCTCGCACCGCCGGATCTGCGGCCACATCCTGTGGCTTGATGATGGCGGTCCAGAATTCAGCAGCGGCTCTCTTAGGGAAAAGATCCGGTCCCTCAATCGCTCTCAATGTGAAATCTAAGATCGGCTGCACAAGCTCGCCGGAAGACCCCACGTCCACAAGGATGTTGCTGTACCGAGGGATCATTCTATAGAAGACATCAATACAACACTGTGCAATTGCAGGATCCTGAGACGACTGCCCAAGTGCTTGGATGAAGGTCGCAGTCTTTCGATAAATTCGTCCGGCAAGAGCGTCTATCCGTGGACTGCTTTGTCTGGAGTGCTGCACCAACAGTTTCATGACCATCGAGAGGACGGCCTCGACTCGGGGAGTGGCGACAGTGCATTGTTCCAGAAAGATTACGCAGAAGTCGGGTGGGAAAACGAAAGGTCCAGGTTCTGTCTCTGCGAAGCCGCTCTTAAAGACGCCACAGACGCTGTCCACAACCTCGCCTGATGCCGGGAAACTCTGCAGTACCGTATTACAGATGCCGAGGATTCGATGCTGAATACCCTGGCCGGTCTCAGATAGCCAGAAGCTACTCTGATCCTTTGGTTTCTCGTCATCATCGAGAACGACAACAGGAACATCGTCAGGGATCTGCAAGCTCTTTCCCATGCGAACAAGGCAATCAATGGCCGAAACACCATGGTCATGCGCCAGGTCGTGATTGCTTTGTGCTACATATTGCTTCGCAACATCAACCATCGTATCAACAATGTCGAGAAGAGCAGAAAGTGGCTGGGCCTTAGCGCTCTCGGGTGCCACTGCCTGTACAATCGCGGCAATGCCACCAATGACTCTCTGGTTGGTGTATGGCTCGCTCGTCTCGCTTTGAGAAAATTGTTTGTATTGTGTGATGAAGCCATCTAGTTCGCCCGTAAGGCTGCCCCGGCATGCTGAACACAAGCTGTCAATCGATTTCGAAGCGCTTAGGTGGAAGCCTTGGGTCTCGAGTGACGCGAATAGAAATCGCAAAGTGTCCGGTAAGAATTCGGCATGGCGTTCAATGTATCCACCGTACTTTCCCAGCGTGTCGATTGCTGTTCTCCGAGCCTGGGATGGTATGTTTTTGTCGAAGTCGGCAATCTCGCGGAACAAAGGCGAACTGAAGACTTGTACGAGCAGTCTCTCGGATTCTGGATCTTCCAAGACGTTGTCTGCCAGGGAGTTGATGCAGCACAAGCCAGCCTCGACGTCTAGCCATGCCTCCGATGCCAGCGCGTTCAAGATGAGTGTGATGTATTGCTGCAGCATTTCGTTGCCCAGTAAGATAAACAGCGAGAGTAAAAGATCCGCAGCGTCCATGCGGAATTCCTTGAAAGCGTCGTGCTCTGCATCACTCCAGTCTTGGGCAACTTCTTGTGGCGGAGTCCTCGATTTTGACCATAGAAGCATCGACAGCCGCATGCAGACTGCTTTGGCGTGCTCAAGCCAAGCTGGCTGAGCCTCCTCGTCGCTTGAGTATCTCGCCTCGTTAATGTACTCGATGTAGGTATTCCAAAACTCGATGCTGTGTAAAGACACTTCGTCGTCATCGCCAGGATAGCCCGGGGCCTCGAGGATGGCGAGGAGTAGTTGGATGACCTCCTTCGACCCGTGCACTCTATATTGCTCTTCAACGATCTCCTTGACGTTCGCGACCCCATATGCAATCACCATCTGCGCAGCAGGCAAGACTTCGGGTTCTTGAGCTTGCAGGCCCTGCAACATTCCTGGCCGAACGTGCTCATATATGATCTCTGCGAGCAGAACCATATGTGGCAGTTGGAAGAATGAAGTGAATGTCTCCAAAATGTCTCGGAATACATCCATGGCCTCGTGCTGTAGTATCGGATCCATGAGGTGCGCGGCTAAGCCAGTGACCAAGTTTCGGAGGTAACCCAGTGCTTCAGGGTGGGAGTTAGTCCACAGCGGCTGCGCGTAGTTGACCCAGTTCAAGAAGCAGGACAAATTCTGTCAAAGGCCAATCAGTAACTCAGGCGCCAAGACATGGGGTAACTGGCTAAGGCAGGAACGATATCGTGGGGACAGCTTCTGCTCACTGAAAACGTACCTCAGCCTTGAAGTTACCCGACTGCGGGCCAAGGGGCTGTCTTGAAGCAAAATGCATGACCTTACTTGCATCTTCGACGACCTGCCATAGAGAAAGAGTCAGCATAACTTCAGAAATGATGTGACAAATTGGAGTATTGAGGGCTGTTCATTGGCTCTGATGTGGCCTTTGCGATGGTAACGGTTTCCTGTTGGCCATTCGTATCGTACCTCGAGCATCTGATCTTGCTTCTGTCTGGTTGTTTGAGCGGCGTTATCCAGCTTCTCGGCTTCTGTTGCTAAGGCAGACGAGAGGCCAATAAGGGACTGGAGCTGACGTTCTGACAGCACCTGCAGTAATCTTTCAAGGGCATCTGGAGAGTTCGGTAGGTGTTCCGCGGGAACAGCATTGCCCTGCTGAAGTGAAGCCGCCAGATGCAGGAGGGGCCGTCTCCAGGACATGGGAGAGCGCATGAAGTATGTCGTCAGAGCGTTGCTAAGCTTCCTCAGCACCATGTGAGTCTCACCAGCGTGGCTCAATTGCGCGGTCCATGATAGTAGCCTCATCAATACCGTCTGCGCAGTCTCAGCGTCAAGCTTGGCCCTGTAAGAGAACATCATAAGCGGAGGGTCTCACCACCACGGACTCATCTCAGGGCCACAGTACTGACCCATCATTGTTGAGTTTGACCTGAAAGGTCAGGACGCCAAAGAATCGGACTTTGTCGTTGTCGCTTCGCATAAGTGCATCAGCCATCTGCCATCCCTCGGACGAGGTTTGGAGGGCCTTCAGCTGGCGATCAAGCCCCGCAACAACGGAAGGCGTGCTCCCAGCATAGAGAGTCTTGATCATCTGTAGGCATATTAGTCAACGAACCCCGAAATGCCATCTTCATGGATTGTGAGTCTGATATATCGCCGTTGCGCTTCTCATGGCTCTTGCTCTTGCTATTTCGCTCAAGCAATGGGCCAGATTGCAAAACGTGCTTACCTGCTCAACGTCCTCAATACTGGTTGGAACCGGAACGGCACCAGCGCCATTGACATTTGCCATCGTCGCGCCTTGGCGCAATGAGGTGATTGAAGCCCCGAGTCTGATGGTTTGTATATACTGTTGCTGATCGAGGCCTGATGGGGGGGAGAAGGAAGTGAGAGATGCACTCGCAAGGAAAGAAGATGTTTGTCTCTCGACATGTGAAGAAGGCTGTGCCCCACTTCCCGTGCTGTCCCGTCGCTACCCGCTGCAGGGCAAAAGTCAAAACCCTCTGGTGCTACCACGTCTCCGACGCCGAAAATTATCCCGATGGGGACTTCGTGACACTGGGAGATCCGCCGTAGCTCCAGTAACTAGCGACACACTCGAGAAGATTGTAAGGTCGGGAACGAGCGCCCCGCCAAATCGCAGAAAGAACAGATCGTATCGTGATGGCCCGGTAGCTCTCTAGCAAGGTTCCAGATGGCCACAGCCCAAGACCTCCTCAACATCACTGCAGAAGACCAGTCCCAGCTATTGCATTTGGCAGACCTCCTGCATCTCTTCCATCACCGTAACAAGAACCAACACCGCCGCAGCGTCTGGTATCGACAATTCTCTCTCTTCCGAAGACAACTCAACAATCTTACACACGGCATCACACTACTCAACACCGTTCCCGCCACCAACGTCGCTCGAGCCAGGAAGAAAGCGCAAGATGCCAAGACTGTTCAGCTCTATCAAGACCGCATCTCTTTCTGGCGCGATGTGATGGTGGCGAAATGGCAGCACTCTTTCTCGCAGGTTATCGCGGATGGAAGATTTTCGGTTCTCGGACTGGCTCTGCTGGCTATTTTGGCAGAGGTCTGTAAGATTGTTGGAATTCTGGTGGAGTTGGAAGAATTGGGACAGGGAGAGGTGGAGAAGGTCTTGGAGGAGTTTGGGAGAGAGGAGTGGGATGGTGCTGACAAGCAGAACGTAGACGTCGAAGGAAAGGAGGACTTGGGTGAAGTTGTTCGGCGTTATGAGCAATCATCGATCATGACAGTCGATTCCCAATCTCCTCCTATAAAGTCGATGGGGACCAAGAAGCGACCTATGGACCCTTCATCTAATCCTGTCAAAAAGAAGAAGCGCAGGAAAGTCGCAGGCGATGCAATAGATGACATCTTCGGATAAGAATGGCACATCATTGTAATGAAGATCTCCAAATTCAGCAGTGTCCCAAGCTGTGTACACGTGATTGTCTCAATCCTAGCCTCGTGTAGATGCAGTGAATCCCATGATATCCTCTAGATCGCCTAAAACGCGCTGCACGTGTTCACGTGCCCCTCATGCACTCGTGCTTTTGAGACTGGGCACAGTGGGCCCTCTGACCTCCATATGGTCATATTCCGGTCTCCAGGTTCTGGACTATGTTCTTCCCTCCCCTTCTGCCCTGTCTTCTGGAGTGAAATCTCCCACCACCGAACCTCAGCCTCTCCCTTACCTCCCACTCACAGCAATATTATACCCGAACGGCTCCCTCTCATTCGTAGTAATAGGCGGAATATGTCCCCTCTCCCGCATGCATATCTCCACAACCTTCAAAGCTTCTCCCTTCAACATACCCCTTCCCCCTCCTCCCGAAAAGACAGCGGCATCTATGATCCAACTCTCCCACACTGTCTCTTCATCCGCTTTGGAAACGAACCACCCTTTGCGACGCTTCTTTTCCAGGAATTGTAGTTTGAGGGTTCCGCCGCGGTCGGAGAGGAGAGCTGTTTTGGATTCGATGAGAGGGCTGAGATCGGGGAGGTAGGGGAGAGTGAGGTCGAGAATCTCGTGCGTGGATGGAGAGAGGGGTGTGAAGGTTCGGTGGAAGAAGATGATGTGGAGGAGTGCTGTGTCGGAAAGTTTGAGTGCCGAGTCTTCGGGTACCTTATGCAGGAGGGGCTTCACCTTTCACGACATCTTTCAGACTGGACCGATCTGCAGAGACAGAGAGGTGGAATTCCGGTGGTGGAGAGGGACGTTTCGCGGGTTCCATGATGAAGATGTTGCTAGAGTGTATGTGAGAGTATCGGTGTCTGAGCTGCGATGGCAGCGAAGAACGGAATGTTAGGTCATGATCTGAGACCAGAGAGTCACAAGATCATCGTTGGTTGGAAAGCGCCGCACGTGCTGGACGAGTGTGCTTCGAAATTCGATGCATGTGAAAGCGGGAGGGGAAGTCAAGTGGGATGAATGATGGCAGCTTCCGCGATAGGCCGTCATTATCTCTGCCCGGCCCGTGATTGGTGGGTGAGCCGAGTGTCAAATGAAAGCATCTCACTAGATGTGCGGTCCAACGTGCGTGTTTTGTATGACCCAAGAGAGGCTACAAGAGGTATGGAAATGCGAGCAGTGTGAGAGAGTGACGACAGTTGGTCTTCTATCTATGCAGCTCAAGCACCCAGTTCTGCCACAAGGAGCTTTCAACATTATCTCCTTCCAACATGCCAGGTTCTAAGCCAGTTGCAGGCAAGAACTTTCAACGAGTGTGTTGCACGACCGTGAGAACATATGAGACGTCGTAAAGCGAGCGTCCATGATTGTATCGCTTCTTCGGAATGCAATCCCGTATACCCTTTCCCTCCAAAATGATCGCAAGCCTAGCCAGCAGGCAGCATGCTCCCAAAATCTCTCTGAAGGCATGCAACTTGGTGCAGGCCTGCTTTCAAGATCTGGACCAGTTCATGGACCTGCGGTACCAGCCTGTCAGGAAGCGAAGACACCGCCCCGCTTCGCTATCCCGTGATTCCAAGATTACCCCACTACATTGAGTTTCAAAATACGTCGTAAATCGTTCTGCATTGCATCAATGTCTCGTGATCCTCCAGCCGTGCGGGGAGTGGAATGCCCCGACACAGAGGATGCAGGTGAAGACGCCGAAACTCCGTGCTGCGCATTGACAGGCTGTACAGGGATAGAAACAGAACCAGTAGAAGGAGAATTCGGATGATGAGCGCCGGAAGATGCGTGAATCGGTTTCGGCCCAGATTGCCAGGGAAGTTGAGGCATCTGAGCGGGCCCAGAATTACGGATTTGCTCTTGTAGGTAGGAGCGCGCAAAGGTGCTGTGGTCAACAGTGCCTTGGTGATGAGCAGGAGGAGGCTGAAGATCTACAGCGGAGTTAGTAATGGACGCCGAATTGTTTGGTAGCTCTTGGCGCAGGCTAGACGGGCGTGGCGGCGTGTCGGATTGAGCGGCCTTGAAGAGTGGTGAAAGGTTCCGGTTTCCATAGTGAAGGGAATAGTGGTTCTGTTGTTGTTCTGAGGTTGGCTGTGGTGTAGAAGGTCCAGAAGAGCGCTGAAAAGGAGACGGAGAGCCAAAGACACCGTCTGGGGTTTGAGAGCCGGAGTGGTTGCGACTCTGAGATGCAGGGGTAGTAGAGGACGCGTTTGCAGTTGTATTCCACAGAATGTCTTTCAAGGATTGCGTCTTTGCTTGTCGATCACTCTCGCTTCGACTGAACTGATTCGCAGCACCAGGTGATGACTTGGCTCTCTCGGCAAATGGTGGTCGTATAGTTCGAGGGCTAAGGCGGTCTAAATCATCGCCATCAAGCTCGCTCAAGAAGACGCTCCGACCGGACTGTTGAAATGGATTCTGCGACGTAGAAGATGGTTGTGAAGATCGTGGTAGTTCGGGAGAACGCGAGTTGCTCCCACTCATATTCCTCTGTTTCTCAGCCTTATCTGCTTGGAAGAAGAAATCGAGTGGAGACTGCTGTGCCTCTCGCGGCGGCGGTTGAGGAGCAGGCGACGCAGAATCCGATTCCGGCGAAGAAGATTCACGCCCCGATTGCACCCTCTCTTGCGCGAGCTTCGCTTGTAGAGAATTCCGTCCCGCTGCGTTGTTTGGCAAAGACTTTGAAAAGTACTTAGGCATAGGAAGTGCGGAAGCAGCTGGCGAGTCCTGGAATTTCGCGCCAGCATACACTTCCTCTTTCGCAGGAGTGTCCGGCACTACACCCGGGCCGGCCATAGACACCGGCCTCTGATTTTGTACACTGTTCGCTCTACCCATGTTGTTGCCGTTCTGCTGCTGTCCAGGCGCTGCGCCTAGTGCAGCGCTTTGTCTCTGCTTGTGTGATCTCTTGGAATGTGGTGAACCAGGCGCTTGAGCTACCAAGCCGTCAGAGACTGCGCCGTCAAACTGCTGTTGGTTGTTCTTGCGATTTCGGTGGTCGTTGTTGCTGCGCTTATGTTGCGTAGCTGTGGAAGGTGTGCGCTGGTTCCTGCCTGGACCGACGGCCGGATTCGGTGAGTCGCTGATGTAGTCTGCCATTTGCGACAGTTGAAACGTGGAAGGTTGGAAGGTTGGACTGGTTTGAACACGCTGTAAACAGTGGAAAGGTGTCGTCGCAGGTGATGATCGGTGACCGCTGCTGGCTATCTCAGAGACGAAATGTACCAGGGTACGTGAGTGGTGGATGTTCGCGCGGTCAAGTTCGAGGGAGACATTTGTGGTAAGAAGTATTGTGGTCGTGTCGCGTAGTGTGGTTGCAAGGAGTGAAGTTGCAGTGACTGGTTGCGGTATTGTTGTGGTGTAGCGCTAGCGGACAGCAACGTGGTGAATGTTTCGTCATTCGACACCCTGCGAGTGGTGGCTGATGAGGTCGGCGGTTGCGATGGCGAAGTTGCCGCTCGCCAAGTTGTCGGTATCGCTCTACCGTATCACCTCACCACATCTCCCTTTCCTTTCCACGCGTCTTTGTGTCCTTACCTTACGCCGACCTCGCGCTCCTTACGACAAAGCAATAGCACGTGAGTCACGAGATAGAGGAATGTCGTCATGCGCACAATCACCGTCACCGGCTGAATTGAGGGCCGCACTCGTCCGCGACGGGTTCGTGCGCATAACAAAGGTCTTCACAGACGATGAGATTGAGGCTTTCCGCGGAGCCTGTCATCGCAGTGCCGAACTCACAAGAGCAGGTAAATGGCCATACTACAGAACGCTCCCAAAGCAGTTCCCTCCGTGGAATGAAGATGTGAGCCAAGGCATTTGGGGAGTGCAGCACCTTCTTCATCCTGAGATGCCTGACAAGGAGATCTTCGAGAAGTCTTATTTTGGGGAGCAGATGATTGGTGCAGTGACCTCGCTGTTGAACTGCTCGCCGGATGACCTGGTCATGGAACTCTATAACATGCTGGTCAGACCAGATAGGGACTTCGCACTCAGATGGCACAGAGATGATATCGGCCCCGACGTCACAGCCGAAGAAGAACTCAAGCGTCTCCAAGAGCCCATGGTGCACGCACAGTGGAATCTGGCTCTCTACGAAGACAGCTCTTTGGTCGTAGTCCCCGGCTCTCACAAGCGTGCGAGGACAGACATGGAGCGCAACGCAGATCCTTACGAGGACGACATGCCTGGGCAAATGGCTGTGAAGATGTGTCCTGGTGACGTTGTGTTCTACAACAACAACATCCTCCACCGAGGTGTCTATGACAGCAAGACTGAGCGGATGACTCTGCATGGCACAATGGGGCTGACTGGGAGCGATCCTGCCAGGGCAAGGAACATACTGCAGCATGGCATTGGCAAGTGGGCTGCAGACTGCAACTTTGGTGACCTTCCTTCTGATATGAGGCAACAAGCTGAAGCAATGCAAAAGCGTCTCATGGCGATGGGTACTGGAAACAACATCGGATTTTCTCAACAGGATCCATAATGTATGATCGTGGAGCTGCGTCCACAAGCAGAACGAGACATCGAAGAGGTATACAGGTTCGGATATGAAGACTAGCTTCGTCGAACATGGACTTATGAGAAATTCGACTGTAGCATGAGTACTTACAGAAGGATTACATTTTCAATCATGGCCACGTCCTGGTAAGCAGCGAACAAACACATCATGTTTGCAGCAAACCTCTGCATTCGACATGTCCGTTGCCCACGTAAGATATGTTTTGCACGACGAGGTTGGAGTGGAAGTCGGTGAAGATCGGGCAGACTATCACATGCCCCGAGCTCCTGGTCCTACGACCCCTGAAATCTGCTTCCTTGTAAGGCTGGCCGCTCTGCTGCTGTCCGAAAGGCGTTAGCACTCAAGTCCACTGCAGGAGACTCTGCCGGCATCCCGTACGCCTTGGAAAATGTGCAAAGGCGGCGTCTCGCAGTGGCGCACGCGTGGACTTGAAAGCTTCCGGAGAACGACGTGCTGCATGAGTAGAAGGCAGCTTGCGCATAGCCAGCCTATCGATGTCTGCAGATCGCAGACCGGCGGTAGTATCTGTGGTATTGGCTGGGGTCTGCTGACGAGAATTCACGTGACGAGGGCGTGTAGACGTGTGCAGAACATGAAGCCGTGGAATCCAGTGTGAATGGGTGATGAAGCAGAGTGCAGTCGGGATTCACATGCACGCGCGTGCGTTGTTGTCCGGCACGAGGAACTACTGCGGGGAGCGGTAGCGGTGTTGCGGGTTTGAGGGCCAAACAAGGCGCTAACTGCTTTGGAATTGACTTCGTTCCCAGCAGGGGTGCACGCAAAGGGTCAAGACATCGCGGCCAGCCGATATTCACCACCGCCTGCAACTCTTCTACCTCCTGTCTACCACCTCGCAATATGATGAGTGCCCGTCTCTGCCATCGCTTCGGGCTGCTCTCTTAACCTCCGCATCGCTCGCATTGTCGATACCCGCGCTGGCGCAAACCCCAAGCCTGCAGCTCACCGGTAACCAAAACCTTCCCGCACGCGCCGCACTGCGCAGGCAGCGGACAAGACCCGAGCAGGAGTAGGAGGCGGACGGCGACGACGTGCCTGAGTGAGAGAAAGACAGCAAACACACCACAACACACCCCGCTGCCCGCCGTCAGCAGCCATGTCGCATACGTACGATGCCGGCACCAAGGCCTGGCAGCCAGATACCACCGAGGGCTGGGTGGCCTCCGAGGTCACCAGCAAGACGGTCGATGGGGACAAGGTGAAGCTTGTCTTCACCTTGGAGAATGGCGAGGTACGCCTTTTGACGTGCAGCCTGAGACTGCACGATGCTGATCGGAACAGGAGAAAACGATCGAAACGACCCTGGAAGAGCTGGGCAAAGATGCCATGAACTCGACCTTACCGCCTTTAATGAACCCAGCAATGCTCGAAGCCTCCGACGATCTCACCAACCTATCTCACCTAAACGAGCCTGCCGTATTGCAGGCCATCAAGTTACGCTATGCTCAAAAGGAGATATACACCTACTCCGGCATCGTCCTCATCGCTACCAACCCCTTTGCGCGGGTCGATTCTCTTTACGTGCCTGGAATGGTTCAAGTATATGCTGGCAAGCAGCGAGCATCACAGGCACCTCACTTGTTCGCCATCGCTGAGGAGTCTTTCGCGGACATGTTGCGGAACGAGAAGAACCAGACGATTGTCGTCTCCGGAGAGTCAGGAGCTGGAAAGACTGTCAGCGCGAAGTACATTATGAGATACTTCGCTACGAGAGAACCACCCGATCAGCCAGGTGCTCGTAGCCGTGGCCGGACAGACACCATGAGCGAGACTGAAGAGCAAATTCTTGCCACGAATCCCATCATGGAAGCCTTCGGTAACGCAAAGACCACCCGCAACGACAACTCCTCGCGTTTCGGAAAGTACATCGAAATCATGTTCAACAAGCAGACAGACATCATCGGCGCCCGAATACGAACGTACCTCCTCGAGCGGTCAAGGTTGGTATTTCAGCCGCTTAAGGAGCGGAACTACCACATCTTCTACCAGCTTGTGGCCGGCGCAAGCGATGCAGAGCGGGAAGAGCTCGGTCTTATCCCAGTAGAACACTTCGACTACCTCAACCAAGGTGGCTCCCCGCACATTGATGGCGTCGACGATGCAAAGGACTTCGCAGACACACGTACCTCGCTTACTAGGCTTGGCGTGGCTCCCGAGGTACAGAGCAATCTGTGGAAGATACTGGCTGCGCTGCTGCACATTGGCAATATTAAGATTACTGCCACCAGAACAGAATCGCAGCTGGCGGACGCGGAGCCTTCTCTTGCGAAAGCTTGCGAGCTCCTGGGTATTGACGCGACGGAGTTTGCCAAGTGGACTGTCAAGAAGCAGCTCATTACTCGCGGCGAGAAGATCATGTCGAACCTGACTGCGCAGCAAGCTACTGTGGTGAGGGACTCCGTTGCAAAGTACATCTACTCCTCGCTCTTCGACTGGCTGGTGGAGACCATGAACGCGTTTCTTGCCCCTCAAAAGGTCCTCGAGCAGGTGAGCTCCTTTATTGGAGTCCTCGATATCTATGGTTTCGAGCACTTCGCCAAGAACAGCTTTGAACAGTTCTGCATCAACTACGCCAACGAAAAGCTGCAGCAAGAGTTCAACCAGCACGTGTTCAAGCTCGAGCAAGAAGAATATCTTCGAGAAGAGATTGACTGGAAGTTCATTGACTTCAGCGACAACCAGCCCTGCATCGACTTGATCGAGGGCAAGCTGGGCATCCTTGCACTTTTGGATGAAGAAAGCAGGTTGCCAATGGGGTCTGACGAAAGTTTTGTGACGAAGCTTCACCACAACTTCTCGCAAGACAAGCACAAGTTTTACAAGAAACCACGATTCGGCAAGAGCGCATTCACGGTCTGCCATTACGCCATTGATGTGACATACGAAAGCGACGGGTTCATTGAGAAGAACAGAGATACGGTGCCGGACGAACACCTCGAAGTACTGAAGAACAGCTCAAATCCCTTCCTCACTGAAGTGCTGGAATCCAGCGCTGTGGTGCGAGATCGTGACAATGCAGCTGTCAATCTCAAAGCTGCCAATGGTGCACCGGGAAAGAGAATGGGCGCGGCTGGAGCCAAGAAGCCGACTTTGGGTGGCATCTTCAAGAGTTCCCTGATCCAGTTGATGGATACGATAAACTCCACAGAAGTGCATTACATCCGATGTATCAAGCCCAATGAAGCCAAAGAAGCCTGGAAATTCGAAGGACCGATGGTTCTCAGTCAACTGAGAGCTTGTGGTGTCCTGGAAACAGTGCGAATAAGCTGTGCGGGCTACCCAACGAGGTGGACATACGAAGAGTTTGCACTTCGCTACTACATGCTGATTAATTCCTCCCAATGGACCACGGAGATCAGACAAATGGCAAACGCCATCTTGAAGAAGGCCCTGGGCGAAAGTCAGCACGACAGGGCAGACAAATACCAGCTCGGTCTGACCAAGATCTTCTTCCGAGCCGGTATGCTTGCTTTCCTGGAGAATTTGCGAGCAAACCGTCTAAGTGATGCGGCTATCATGATCCAGAAGAACCTGCGTGCGAAATACCACCGTCGCCGATACTTGGAGGCGATTGACAGCATTCGTACTTTTCAGGCCCGAGCACGAGCAATCATGGCACGGAAACAGGCAGACGAGGCGCGCCGTCAACGGAGTGCTACAACCATTCAGCGCGTATGGAGAGGGCAGAAGGAGCGGAAGAAGTTCTTACAGCTCCGAAACAATCTCATCCGCTTTGAAGCGGCGGCCAAGAGCTGGCTGTGCCGAAAGATGATCCTGGACAAGAAGTTTTCCGACGCTGCACGCGTTATTCAGAGGAACTGGAGAAGTCACAGACAGCTCAAGGGCTGGAGAGATTATCGCCGAAAAGTCACGCTCGTACAAAGCTTGTGGCGTGGTAAGAGCGCCAGAAAGACATACAAGAAGCTCAGAGAGGAGGCGAGAGATCTTAAGCAGATCTCGTACAAGCTGGAAAACAAGGTCGTCGAACTCACACAGAATTTGGGTACGATGCGACAAGAAAATAAGCAGCTCAAGGGTCAGGTCTCGAACTACGAAAGCCAGCTCAAGAGCTCACGAGAAAGGTACAACGCCTTGGAAGCCAGGACCAACGAGTTGCAAAGAGAAGCCAACCAGGCCGGTATCACTTCTGCCAAGTTGGAGCAGATGGAAGCAGACATGTCACGCTTGCAGTCCAGCTACGACGAGAGCACTGCAAGCATGCGTCGCCTGCAAGAAGAAGAAAAGAATCTGCGGGAAAGCTTGCGGGTCACATCGCAGGAGCTGGAGACATCGAGGCAAGCCAAGACCGCCAGCGAGTCCGAGAAGCTTAGCCTCCGGCAACAGCTTGCAGATCTTCAAGATCAATTGGAATTGGCCAAGCGAGCAGCACCTGTCACAAATGGAGAGCTTCCAAATGGCGGTGCGGGTGGCGGACAACCCTCAGGCCTCATCAACTTGGTGGCATCGAAGAAGCCGAAGAGAAGAAGCGCTGGTCCCGAGCCAATCCAGACCGAGAGATTCAGCGGCACTTTCAATCCGAGGCCTGTATCGATGGCCTTTGGTGCGACGGCTGGTGGGCACACGCAAAACCTATCTGGCTCCACGTTTAATCCTGGGCTGGAGAACGTGGAGATGGAGTTGGAGAACCTGCTTGCAGACGAGGAGGGTCTCAATGACGAGGTCACGATGGGCTTGATCCGAAATCTGAAGATTCCCGCGCCTGGTTCGAACCCACCCCCGACTGACAAGGAAGTTTTGTTCCCGGCTTACCTCATCAACCTGGTGACCAGTGAAATGTGGAACAACGGTTTCGTGAAAGAATCAGAACGCTTCCTCGCCAATGTCATGCAGTCGATCCAGCAAGAGGTCATGCAGCATGACGGCGACGAAGCCGTAAACCCAGGTGCTTTCTGGCTGTCGAACGTCCATGAGATGCTGTCGTTCGTTTTCTTGGCCGAAGACTGGTACGAAGCCCAGAAGACAGACAACTTCGAGTACGATCGCCTGCTAGAAATTGTGAAGCACGATCTGGAGAGCTTGGAGTTCAACATCTACCACACTTGGATGAAGGTGCTCAAGAAGAAGCTTCACAAGATGATCGTACCTGCTATCATCGAGTCACAGTCGCTACCAGGCTTCGTCACAAACGAGAACAACCGTTTCCTTGGCAAGCTGCTGCAATCTTCCAACCAACCAGCGTACAGCATGGACAACCTTTTGAGCTTGCTCAACAATGTCTTCAAGGCAATGAAGGCATTCTACCTCGAGGACAGCATAATCACACAGACCGTGACCGAGCTGCTTCGATTGGTTGGTGTCACCGCCTTTAACGACCTCCTCATGAGGAGAAACTTCTTGTCCTGGAAGCGTGGTCTTCAAATTAACTACAATATCACCCGGATTGAGGAGTGGTGTAAGAGCCATGACATGCCTGAGGGCACTTTGCAGCTGGAGCACTTGATGCAAGCCACGAAGCTTCTGCAGTTGAAGAAGGCGACACTCAACGACATCGAGATTATCCAGGATATTTGCTGGATGTAAGTTTTACTTCTTTCTCATTCATTCGCAGGTACTGATGTTTCTCCAGGCTCTCGCCAAATCAAATTCAGAAGTTGTTGAACCAATACCTCGTTGCCGACTACGAACAACCCATCAATGGCGAAATCATGAAGGCAGTCGCCTCCCGTGTCACAGATCCCAAATCGGACGTTCTGCTGCTACAAGCAGTCGACATGGAAGACTCTGGACCATATGAGATCGCAGAGCCTCGGGTAATTACTGCATTGGAGACTTACACACCCAGTTGGCTCCAGACACCTCGACTAAAGCGCTTGGCCGAGATTGTCTCTGCGCAAGCCGTGATGCAACAACAGCTGGATGCTAACGGCATCCACAAGGTGGAAGAAGAGGGCTTGGACGTCATGGAAGGCCAGTGGCCCGTACCGAATGGCAACGGCATGAACGGCCATGCCGTGGGCCTGGGCGTGCAACATGATGGAGGCGATGATGGAGAGTATTCGCCGAGGGGATAGAATCTCCCGGAGAAGTTACCTCTACTCGCCCGACACGATTCCGGGGAGTGGTATTGATTGATGCAAATTGCATTGGCTTTGGAGTTTCTCGGCACAAAGATACAGCGGACTCGCTTTTTTTGAGCGTTAAATTCTCTCATTCGGATTTTGGCAATTGGAAGACTCGCGCAGTCGCGACTTCCCTCCCTTACTGTGAGAGAGATGCATGGGCGAAGAAGAGGCGTTTAAATGTGTCGATTGTTTCCTGTAGAGCGGGAGACATGTACTGCTGATCAATCGATGGGGTGTGAATGGCTAGGATAGTGTATGAAGACCAGAGCGGGAGTCGAGAGGCCCTTCTTGCTGCTGTGTCAACTCTTCTCAGAGCAACCTCTCATTATTCCCCTGCATGGTAGCGTTCAACGATTCCCTGAAAAGGCGGCTGGGAGGATCATTCCCAGACGTCCCGGGATCGACATCCCCCATCGTGATATTGCTACTTGTCACTCGCCAGCCCTAGAGCGAAGCTAGCGGATGTCTGTCGATCTTTGTTGGGCTGCCATGGAGGGCGAAAGATTGGTGGTTCCGAGGCATGTAGGGTTTGCAGCGACTGCTGTCTTTCCACGTGTTTTGTGGAGAAATCTTCGAGGACAAGCCCATTATTAGACTGGCGAGAAGGGTATGGAAGCGAAGCTGTAGGTGAGATTTTGAGGTAGTCTGCTTGACGTGCGATAGATAGCTGCGTCTGCTCTGCTCTGCTGAGGTATGGAGGGTGAGGTTTCGTTACTCCTGAGGCCAATGTGATGAGATAGGGTCCAGAATTATAATTTGGAGTTTTGTCCGTTCTCATGTCTACTGTGCACGAGTCCACTGTGAGTAAGTGAGGAATGACCCGGACAGGAGAGCGGCGAGACTCTTTGGCGAGGTGTGAGGTACGTATAGATCGGCTGTCCGCTTGTTCCAAGCGACTTCATGATGATTGGAGATGAATGCAGCAGAGGATCATCTTTGCAGATGCGCGTCAGAACTCTGATGGTCTTGGGGTGAAGTGGACAGTTCGAAGCATTCGCAGCATACAACTCTTGCCGAGGGCCAACGAGGGAAGGATGATGAAATGGAGAAGGAACAAGAGATTCCATGACTGAGGTGTCTCTTGTCTCGTGGTATTCATGAATTGTATCGCAATCTTCGGGTGCCAAATAAGGAACCGCGCCCGAAACAGACGCTACTTCGCAGCCTCCGAGACGGACGTTCGGAAAGGAGATCAGCAAAAGTGAAGATGTCAGTTTCATGCGTTCAGCAGGAGATGGTGGGGAAAGGAAGTAAGGAGATGTCGGCGTTAGGTTGTGATACTCTCCGTACCTTCCAAACCATCTCGCTATCGGCATCGGGTTCTGCAATTCTCGCCAAGTCCGCAATTCGGCTCTCCAACAGGAAGATCTTGGACTCTCCCCAAAAAAACGTTGAACTGCAAAACGGCAAAAACATACAGCATGAGGTATTCCCACGTGGTCACCCACCGTAGTACTAATCTCACGGTCAGCTGCTTAAGTATGCAAGAGCGGACGGGTTTGCCTGTTATTCAGCTGCCTGTGGCCGTATGTGCCAGACGATGTCGGCTTGCAATATATGTACCTCACATCCTTCTCACCCTACCCTGCAAGGATCACAAGCGTTCAACATCTCCATTCCTCTTCACAAGCAGTTGATTGCACAAAATGCGTCCATGTATTGTGGCTTTCACTCAGGCTTAGCCGCCTCGACTCGGTGGCCTTGCATATGGGAGAGAATTTGAAAGCTGACGATTCTTTTGCGCCTCTGTGGATCTTGCCCCCGGCGGAGTCCATCGGTGATGTTACAGGACAGAACGCCCACAGCACGACCACAGAGCTCTCACGTAATCATGCCGGCGAAAGCTTACGATACTTGATTGATCTTAGTCCATGTGAGCCATGTACGCTCATTCAAACACGAAGAGAAGCTTCTCTAACAGCACTGGCGCTAACAATGCGCTCATGTCAGCCTCGTCAGCCTCAGAATGCTAGGCTATAATTTCTCTTCCGTCGCTGATATGATGCTCATGGCCTGCTTACACGAGCTTCGCATATATCTGTCTGGCGTACACTTTGGATTTGCTGTCAAGGTACACTATCTCCGTACAGACCGCTCGCAAGCTTGCTTGCTCCGAGCTTGCGAGGGTCTGAGGAGAAGTTAGGCTAAATCGATATTTTTGGCTTGGCGTTTCCCCTCTAAGGCTACCTTTTAATAACGGTACAATAATATTTTATTATAATACCTAGAGCTTCTAGATCTCGCTAAGAAGAAGAAGCTCGTATAATATTTATAATAAGTATAGGTCGTTATAGTATAGTCGTCGCTATCGAGGGAAAATCCCGCTTCGTCGCGTTAAAAACGTTACGTCCGGTCGCGATCTAGATTAAATGGAAGTCGTCGACTACGATAGATAGATAGGTAAAAAGGTAGGTTCCTTATAAAGAAAGTATTTCGCTATAACTTCGCTATAGCCGAATTCGCGATTTAGATATACTCGTAGAGATATACGACAAAGTCGTATTCTAGAGCACGTCAAAAATAGCGATTCGGCCCAACTTCTCCTTAGGCGCTTCGCAGAAGCCCCGCTAGCGGGAAAAGGTTTCTCCGGCGAAGCGCCTGATTGGAGGTAGAAGGTACAACGTCGTCACACATGGCACGTGATAAGGATGGCCGCAGGTGAGACTACAAGACAGTCGACGATACCATGGTCGATGTATGGATTCCATACGATCAAATTAAGTGAATAGCCCACTTTGCGGTCCGTGGTCGCCCCAAACGGCGTTCGAGATTCTGCGTATCGGACATAGTGCTCGGGACTGGCGGCGAACATCTTCATTTTCAAAGACTTCTCGTTGCGTAGAGATGATCTGAGAACGGCACTTTCGAACAGCGTGGTGTTCGGGAATCCGGCGTGGTTGGTAGAGTGTGCTGAAGGATGAGAAGGCGTATCCAATTCCAAGGTCCTTCTTCTTGCTCAGGATCTCAGCGGTAACTGACCCCAAATGTATAGGGAGTAAGAGTGGCCCACGGGTGAAGTGTGTCAAGTCCTGAGGAATCTAGATCGAAGAGTACGGACAGCGATGGCCAACTTTCCCAGACGAAGTCATTCGTCCCCACCGCAGGATTGCGTGGGCCCATTCACGTGAGGTTTGCCGGAACAACTTTCAGCCGGTATCCGCGTTCTGGTGCGTCACCTCCATCAACACGCTCCATGTCGCTCATCACCATCATCAACATCATCATCATCATCATCCCATAGACCACACGCACGCATACACGCATCAATACACCTTCGTACATGTGCCGCTCGAGATGCCCCTCGAGACACGCCATCGGAACAGGAATTTACCCGACCCTCGAGTTTTTGGCTGGAAGCACATTTCAAGCGGGAAGCAATAACCCTGATCAGGTTTAGATCGATGACCCTACCCGGCTGCCTCTGTCTACCCCGGCCCTCATCTCTAAGTATCATCACTATCGCTTTACGATGATACGAGTATGCGATATGCATCTCCCTGATGCCCTCTACCACCTCTAGATGTTTTCACGAAGGAATTCGGATGTTGATTCCAAAGTATGCCAGTGACCCCAAAGCCTATTAGTCCCTGCCAATAGGGTTTCGGCAGACCAAGATTGGTATGACATGCCGGCCAGGTCAGGACGCACCGCTCGAGCGCTCGCCATGGATGATTTCAGGTAGCAAACTGGAATGACACTGATGCCGTTTGCACCTGTTCGACAGCCAGTATCAATGCCCTGCCAGGCCGTGGAGTCAGAGACCGTCGTGCTGGCAGCCGAGTTGTCGATTGAAAAAACCGTAATACTAGAGGCCCAGCCCCGTGGACCCCCAGCCCTGTCAAGCCATCCGCAGCTGCATCACACCGGCAGGTACACAACGTGGCAGCCCGTGCTCGTCGCTTTGAGAGTACACGGAGGTAGCGATGGCGTTCTATGCTGGCTAGCACTTGGCTTGCTCTTTGACCTGCTTATGCACGGCCTAGAGCACCAGCGCCGACGCCAGCGCCAGCGCCACGTCTAGAGGCTGGCGTGCTTGAAGAGCACGAACTTGATTCCGTCGGACAACAATGGTATAACTACATGCCATCTGCCAGCGAGAGGAAGACAGAAAGATCATTCACTCCACATTTCCTGAGAGAAGCCCCCTTTCGACTATCCTGCCTTTCCGAAGCCGATACGATGGCCTCAGCGATATTTGAATGTGTGTCTCCTGCACATGCTACTATCGGCCTCGAATGCGCACCTCAGCAAGCACTTCGACTCCCTGACACACCTCCTCTTACACCGCCATGCGATTCTCTGTCCAGGAGCTCTTCCTGCGACTACCTTGGAGACTTGGGTCTTTCATCGACCTCCGGTCCAGTAAACTACGCTCAACCGACCGTAGCAGTCATCGGCACCGGCTACGTCGGCCTTCATCTGGTCGAAGCCTTCTCATCCGCATACGAGGTGATCGCATTCGATATCTCCAACCAACGTATTCAAGAAATCCGGCCGACTCTTCCTTCCAATGTCACCTGCACATCGAACGTCGATGATCTGAGTAGAGCGACGCACTTTCTGATGTCAGTGAGCACCGTGATCGATGCTCAGCAAAGAATCGACAGCTCATGCATTCAGAAAGCCATTCAGACTATCGAGACTCATGCTCGACCTGGCTCGACGGTCGTGATTGAGAGCTCTGTTGCAGTTGGCATGACAAGAGATCTCCTACGACCACTCATGACATCCAAGTCGCTGAAGTGTGGCATGTCTCCTGAGGTATGTTTTATACCGCTGTGGTATATTCGTTACGATAGTATCTAACTTTTGCTTTGCAACAGCGAGTCGATCCAGGACGCACATACCCACACTACACGACTATCCCGAAGATCGTCTCAGGTCTCGACAATGACTCTCTGCAGTCCATTCATGCTCTTTACTCGAAAGTCTTTCTCAACTTGGTCCCAGTAACAAGCACAGAGGTGGCCGAGATGACGAAGCTGTACGAAAACTGCCAACGTATGATGTGCATAGCCTATGCAAACGAGATGGCCGATGCATGCAGACAACTATCGCAATCACTCTCGGAGAAGCAAGCGTCGGAGACGAAGACATTGCTTCCAGACACCATCACGATCGATCCACTCGAAGTCTCCCGCGCCGCTGCCACCAAGCCTTTCGGGTATATGCCATACACACCTTCACTCGGCGTCGGAGGTCACTGTATACCTTGCAACCCATTCTATCTCCTCTCAAACTCAAGCTTCCCTCTGCTTGAAGCTTGCACCGAGCGCATGCGAGAACGACCAGCTCGCATGGGTGACCAGCTCATGAGAAAGATTCGCAAGGCCACATCTAGGCGACTTCACGTTCTAGTCGTTGGTCTTGGCTTCAAACGTGGCCAAGCTGTGCTGTCGCACTCTCCTGGATTGGCGCTGGCAACCCATCTCCTCAGCAACTATAATGTGTACGTCGAGTACGCAGATCCTTTGGTGGATCAGAATGCTGTGCCGTCGATCCCGAAAATGGAAGGGTCGGAATGGACCGTGGAGAATTTGCGAAAGTTCGACGGTATCGTCGTGGCTGTGGACCAGCCCGGATTAGATTTGAACCAGCTCAGACAAGCCCAAGCTCAAGGTGTACATGTGGACTGGTATTGCAATGTTCAATGAACGTGTATTGGAGCATGGTTATTGGCCGAATGCATTGTCTGGCGCTCTTGGATGGATCAATTGGATGGGCAAAGGGTATTCCGGGTAGAGCATGATATGGCGTTTCACGCTTTGGCAGGATGGATTAGGTGTTGGAATCGATACCCTATGCAGCTCTGCAATCATTCCGGCAACTTCTTCCATCCCGACCAAGCATGAATAGCCACACCTCCAAAGGCATCATAGCGTCTGAGTGTAGCTGTGATCGCCTCAACATCTCTGAGAACAGCAGCCCTGGATCGCTTCAAAGCATGGTCGCCATAGGAAACTGAAGCGCCAACACCTTGTATCGTCTCCACAGCCGCAAAGACTCGCGGCCGATGTTCCCTACCCATCCTCCTCAACGCCGTGGCATACTCAACCTCATCTCCGACCCTCCTAGAGGCATTCTGAGGATCAGTATGATAGCTCATCACGACATAATCGTCTACACTCTCCATTAGAAGCTCCATGACTCTCCGAAGCGGCGCCTTCTCATCCGGCCACCGCACCTGTAGCGGCTCGCCGAAATAATTGCACTTCCAATGGGGAAATGCAGCCGCAAACGGCCAACCAGCCACACTCAGCATGGCCTTAGCGGTGTGATGAATATCCACCCAGTCCTGCATCAGAGCCGCGCGATCCGCAGCTTGAGATCCCTTCCAGACTCCAGTTCCGGGTGTTGCATCCAGGTCGGAACCCTTGATGCCGTTGTGAAAGGAGGTCCATTCTCCCTTCGCGTAGGGTTCTAGATCGGCGGAGAATCCGAAGAATTTTCCGTCGGGCGGAGCCTGATCGTTGAAACGGATCAGGTTTTCGATGTTTCTGTAGAAATGAGAGGGCCCATCGGCATCGCTAAAATACACACTCCCGCCTTCGAGCGCCCAGACTCGGATGTTCGCCGCACTCGAAGCCGCGTTGAACTGCGTTATCAATTCGTGATACTTCTCGTAGTGAGATGCGTCCAAGTAGAGATAGAAGTCGGTGACTGAAGCCTGCACTGCCGCAGAGAGGAGCTGTGTTGTGGTCGTAGAAGAGCTGATGATCTCATAGGTGTTCCACACCCACAGTGGTCGACGCATCTCTTGGGTTTGCATTGTTGTAGAAGTTGGCACTGCACCGCGCGGCACCACTGGTTGGAAAAGGAAGTGAGATGACTAGTACGAATTAGCGTTTCACGTGAAGCTGGTCTGTGCACCGTGAGTGAATGTTAAATCTAACCTCGGCTCAGACTCCGCTTCTCTCCGGTGCCGATTCGACACCAAAAATCCGTGCGCGTGGCCTCGCGCAAGTATAACCACCTATATAATTAGTAGGTTCTAGATAATCAGAGCGATTCATAAGATCGACACCGATCGCCGGCGGAGTGATCAGAGCCTTACTTAGTCGTCGTCAATCTCACCTGCCGGCAAAGAAAAATGAGTCCCAACGCAATTGTGTGTCGACGCTTATCTATAACTGCGCTGAACCTTCCACTACATTCGTTTCATCAAAGTCAAGCTTTGACGCCTTCGATCAAGCTTCAATGCCGTACCGTGTTATTGGGTGATCGTCCTGACTCGTTGGATTAATCAGCTCGCGCACCCTCGATACGACTTTTTCGACCATGTTGGAAGCAACGGTCACTGTCTCGATCGGCCATGGGTGAGTGCTCACAGCTTCGCCATGCGCGGAGCTTCCACTCTCGAGAGCAGATCGTTGTTTCATCAAGAGTCCAAGTGCCTCTGGAGAATCGACGCCGTCTATGCCGTAGCCAGTGGGGCCGGCACACATGAGCGATTGGTCGTATGCGACATATCCTTCCGTTCCTAGTATGGAGCCGAAAGCGTCTAGACTGTCCTCCTGTCTCTAGCATGGGCGAGGTTGAGACTGGTAAGATTACGTACCAAACCGCTGTACTTGCCAGGAGACAGCGGGCCACCCATACGCATGCTGATTACTCATTGTTCGTAGAACCAATCAACGTGGCTTTGACGCCTTACGGTACTTCTAGTCATCTCCGGATGGGTTACCAGGCGGTGTTGTCTCCTCGGTGCTGTCCAGAGACGTTCCTCGCATTGCGTGTGATTCCTACGTGAGCGAGTTGAGTGGCAGCAACGAGATTCTGCCGGCATTCCCGAAGAAAGAGATCCGGAGACTGCCAAGACCCGATGGATTCCGTGCTCAGTGATTCGTTCTGAGTTCCAGAGCCGCCCACCAAAACGTCGGTAAAGACATGCGCCGCATGAATTATAATTGCAGAACATGCATAGAGATGAGGTATCAGATTAGTCAGACGCCGATCAGATTAGTCACATGCCGAGCCCGGCTCCTTCTAACAGCAGCCCCCAAGTACCGAGTGCTGAGCTCCGAGACGGTGGCCTAAGCTTACAAATCCGCAAAATGGTTTTGCCGACTGCCGAAGCGGCACTCGCTATAAGTTGCGACTCACTCTACTACTATAATAATAACTTACGACGGCGATAATAAGGCTCTACGAGTGTCGCGTACTACTATTATCGACGTAAACGGTTAATATAAAGTTAGGCGCAGCTTTTAGCTTTATATTAAACCCGTTAATAGTA